GAATAATAACAAATGAATTATGAATATTTGACTATACTTTCCATGGCGTACTAATGCATGATGTCTCCACTACAACATTGACTTCTCTTTTTTATAATGTTTATTTTCATTTAGAGTGAAATTACTACGACCTAACCTTTTCATTGATATGTACACATTATAATGACCAAGAAATGCAATTGCTCTTCACATGATTTTATGCATTGTATCTGTTCAAAATTCAACCTTTTTTTATTTGAATAAAAATCCAGTTAATTTGATATACTAAACCCACGCCACATGCTTCTAGCCCAACGATGACTTCCCTTTCCCGTTTTGCTTTCATTCCTTTTCATCAAATATTAGAACAATTAATGTTTCACTTTCTTCTCTATACTTTTTACACATTAATTATGAATTTACACAAAACTTTCTTCTATACACTTTTCACACATTAATACACATTAATATATAGTCCAATATTACAGTAAACCTTAACTTATTCCATACGTTGATATACTAAACCCACACCACATGCTTCTAGCCCAACGATGACTTCCCCTTTCCCCACTTGCTTTCATTCCTTTTCATCAAGTATTAGAGCAACTAATTTTCCACTTTCTTCTATACACTTTTTATATGTTAATTATAATTTCACACAACTTTCTTCTCTACACTTTCCACACATTAATATGTACTCCAATATTCTAGAAAACCTTAACTTATTCCATGTCTTTCAGTTGAAGAATTCTTCATTACAATAATGGAATATTACATCAATAGTATTCTAACCAATAAAATGTTTATAAATCATAAGATTCTTTTTCCATCACATTAATTAGAGGTTTCTCATGCTGGTTCTTATTAATTATGGTTTCTACAAAAAACTGGATTATAAACAACTATTAGTTGTCACATATCGACTATTAATTGTGAATTTTCCTGAAATAGATAAATCAAATAAGATAATAAGTCTTGACTTTATTTTTTTTCATTAATTGTTTTTCATTCAGCCCTTTTCATTGCCCAAATCATAACTTGTGAAGCTCATCTTCTCTATTGTTCTACCATGCCCAGTAATAACTTTTAAACAAGGATAAAAGAAAATGAAAGAAGTTAGCTCTCTTCAACTTCTTATTATTCTTGGCTTTAGAATGCATGGTTCTCTTCAACTTCTTATTATTCTTGGCTTTAGAATGCATGGCATGACTCTTGCATGTATTAAATGAAAACAAAGATAACATAATTATAGTATCACGTGGCATTATAAATTTATCATATGATGTATTGTTATGTAATTAGTTTTTTTATTTAGAAATTCACTAAAAATATTGTCTGCATTATTTAATATTGTGTTATGTTATAATTGTAAGTTCATAACTATATATCATATTATAAATATAGTATTATCAAAATAAAAATACTTAACAAAAATTAGGTATAGAAACATAACTCAATGTAAAAGTTGGAATGCTCCA